TACTAAAAAGAAAAAAAGGACAATATTCAAAAAAAAAAAAATTCTTTTTTTATTAGAAGTAGAAAAACGGGAAAAAGTGAAAATAAATTGATCACATCTGTTCTCTGTTAGGAATTTTTAGTATAGTGCATATGGCGATTAATAATATTTAGTATGGTTGTTTTTCGTACCCTTTTCTCAATGGGAAGAGGGCCTTTTTTCCTCTACTCGCTTCCGTATACGAAACGGTAAGATGGCAAGCATTTGCCTGAAACATGAAACCCTTTCCTCTTGGTCGTTCACCTTCTTCTGCACAGGAATAGAGGAGGCATTGAGTCATTAACGTGGTACAAAAGTACGTGTAGTAAATAATGATTTATGGGTAATTTGTACACTAAAAAATTTTATACAGAAAGTGCTTTGCAAATAACAGTTTATGAACCTCACACATTGCTTTTTATTTATTCCATTAGTTCTGAACGGAATGGAACTTCTGTTTTATTTTTTGCTTCCTGAGCAGTCTGAATGTATTCTAATACAGAATGACTATCTAACGTAGCTATTTGTTTCAAAATACGCTTTTTAGCTTGATCGATTGTTTAAAATTACCTTTATAAGAGGAATCTAACTCAAAAAAGTCAAAATCAAACACTAAATTAGCCTGTCTCAGCGTTGTTATGACTCGTTTTCTTCTTACTATCTTTTAAATTTTCTACTAAACTCTGCCGCACTACACTTCCGGTATTTACATAAACAGCCATATAATACTTTTTGCGTTATTTTTCAATCTTATCGGAAGGCAAAAACATTATTTAATTAGATTAACCAGCCTCTGTAAGAGTTCTCAAATTTTCCCCTAAACAGTTTTCTCCGTTCTCTTCCTCTTCTTTCCTTTTCGATTTTCCTGCTCGCTATTGCGACCCCCTACTGATCAGAAGTCTTTTCCTTGCCACCCGCACTGAATAGGGGTTTTTATGGTTGAAATATTTAAGATCCCACTGTTCAACTCATGCAAACTGAGCAGTATGGAGGCACTTTGAAAAATTTCACATTGTTCCTTCGGAAGAAATCCATAACAAAAGAAGGAGAAGAATTTGGTGTGCAAAAAAAACTAAAAAATGCCAATTTAAAATTACTCGTTCAGTGTTCAAACAAGATGAATTTTTTTAATGTTGTAGGGAACATCGCCTTTTTTTGGTTTTTATCTCATTGTGCTATACGTTTTAACAGCTATAATAGGAGCCGGGGGACGGGAAGAGGGTTGTTGCAAAAGAGCAAATAACGGCTTGAAAGTCGAAAATGAAGTATTTGAAATGTTATCTGGTGGAGCGGAAGTGCACAGAAACATTTTAGTTGAACCGTTAATGCATCTAAGATCCTACAAATTTTTTAGTTTCTGGATATAATTATGTATTTAGTGAATGCTGTTAGTGGTTAGCAAGAACAGAAAAACAAATATAATATTGACGGCAGAGGAAAGAGTAATGACAGTTTTTGTTTCATATTCCATTTATTCCTCCTTATTTCTTTCTCTTCAATCTGCACTTTCTCATCCCGTGAACAACAGCTACTTTTGGAACTTGTCACAATGACAAGAAACTTTTTTTTTTGTAGGAGCGCGGAGGTCGAGTTCTAGTGCACTGTGTTGCTGGTGTTTCCAGATCGGCGTCGTTGTGCATAATCTATTTGGTGAAACATGAAAATATGTCCCTTCGTCAAGCTTACTATTGCGTAAAGGCTGTAAGACCGATAATTAAGCCTAATATCGGATTTTGGAGACAAATGGTAGACTATGAGAGGAAATACCGAGGTTGTTTTTCTGGCTGAACTTCGTATACAATGAGTTTTTTGTCAATGGCTCTTTTACCGCTCTTTCATAAATTCAACGTAAAAAATTTACGGATATTTTTCCAATTGCCGCAAAAATCTATCTGTACAATGTTTACTGATTTTTGAGATGGATGATGTTAAAGGTTCCTGAAGGGAATACAGCGCTATATTTAAGCTTGAAATTAGTCAATATCTATTAACGGCTGACATTTTTTTTTGATTTGAAGGCTCGTCATCTGTATCAATGGTACAGATATCTGGTCGAGATCTTGTTATACCCGATGTGTACTGCTCAGATCTCAAAAAGAGCTCTGTCCCACTGTTTCGCTCGCCTCGATTACATTATATCAGTACCCCAACTTCGTCGCTCAAGTTTGGCAGCCTAAGGACATCAGGCAGTCGGAGCAGTCATAGGTCTGCTTCACAACATCATATATTTTTATTTTTTCTTTCTCTTTATGTCACATCAACAAATAAGAATGCTAACTAATCAAAATTCAGTTTTATTGAGGGAAAGAGTGAGGGGGAGCGGGGGGAATGGAGACATTTATGGAGAGGTTTGAGCTTAAAGATGCTAAAACCAATTGATTATTGTTATATTTAAATGTATCAGTCAAGAGTTCATTCTTTCTGAAGATTCATAATATTTGTTTTTTATCCTCTAATATGCCTACAGTTGATACACAGTTGTTATAGCGTTCCAACTAAACGTCAAGTGGACCGACATTTTGGTTTTTCTGCCTTCAGCCCGTCGGCTTCCGTGTTTCCGTTGATGGCCCACTTTCCGCCGGTTAGCGTAACAAATCCGTCGTTTAGCCCAGCACCGTCTAGACGTATTGGAACATCACGATTGTTTGCTGGCCTTTCACTATCGGGTTTTCGTGAACTTTAGACTTTATTTTGACGTTCCGACTACTCTCGGAAGAGTCTTACCGCAAAATTTTATTGAACCATGAATGTCATATGTGAAATGTTTCCTTATTGCTTTTATTGTGTACATAACTTTTTACCTGCTGTAATTAATTTAATGGCGTCTTAGTATTTTCCATATTCTCAAGTACCACTAGCTTGCCTTTTTTTTTACTTTATATAATTTACCGTTAATTTACATGATCAGAAGAAAATGGCACTAAAATGTGACGGTTTATATTGTGATGGGGATATTTATTTATTTTTTTGAAAGCTAAAATAGATTAAATCTTTACACAAAAGCAAAATGAAATTAATTAGTTTGCACCAAAGATATCAATATGTATATTCTTTTTGGAATTTTTTTTTTGCTTTTATTTAGAACGATAACCAAAAAAAGAAAAAAAAAGAACAAAGGGAAAAAAGAAATAATTGGCAATTGTAAAAAATAAGAAAGTTTTAGCTGGGATTAGATGGCAAATTGCCAAAAGAACAAAACAATTGGTGTAAATTAACAAAAGGGAGAAGAAAGTAATTGTGAACAAAAGAAATTTGTTTTCTTTTCAAAGTTTTTGGCTTTATAAATTATAGTGAATAAGAAAAGCACGAATTTTGCTTGAAGAGAGTTATAGTTTTTATACGGAGTTTCTTCAAAAGATGGTAAACTTTTTGCGGTTTTTTAGGGAAATATAAGAATAATTACTGAGAATAAGGTGAAGAACAACTTTTTGCTTATTTAGTTAATTGTCTATTAATTGGTTTATTTATAATTTTATAAATATAATTTGATATATTCATATGTGGAATTTTTTGTTTTATTTTATTGTTACCAAGCCATCTTTCTTTATTATCATTCATCATCATACGGTAGCTTAGCCATAAGTGTATCGGGGTACAATCACTGGACTGCTTTAGTACTGTTGTTTAAAATACAACAGTGCAAAGCTAATGTTTGTTTGTTTGTTTGTTTTTGAAGATCTCCAATAGTTCGGAGACAATTAAAAGAAAAACAATTCAGGTTTAAGCTAGAAGCGCTGACCGTAAACGGCCAATTCATTTTGCATATTTGCAGACGCTGGCAGTAGAAGCAAAAAGATCGTAAGTAGTGTAACGAGAAGTTTCTGGTTCATCAAACCGGTAGCATTTTGAAATATTATTGAAGCTGGTGAATTTTTGATCTTTAAGCCAGAAGAAGGATTAGTCTGTTTTTGATTGTTGCGTGTTTTCTGTTCTGATTATGTTCAGTTATCAGGATTTTGTTCCCTAACGCCTGCAAATTGTTGAAAATTTGTATTATAGAAGAAAAAGTCTTTTTGTCTTGTTACTGCGGACAATACGGGATATTGTTTTTTTTTCGCGCTTTTTTTTAGTTTTTCCTTGTTTTTCTTTCTACTTTTTTCTTGTTGTTTGTAATAATCGTTTTCTTAACAAAAATTATTTTTTTATTTTTGTTTGTGTTTTTGTTTCACTTTATTTCTAAGAAAGCAGCTAGAACAGTCTTGACTGTAAGATAATCTGAAATTGTTGTTGGTATTTTTATGCTAATCTTACTTTGGCTATTATTTTATAAAATTTGAATAAACATCAAAAAACATGGGCTTGAAGAAAAGCAAAAGTGAGCACAGAATGAGGCTGGAAAATTGAGAAGAGGAGAAGAAGAAAAGGATGTGGAAAGCGGATTGATAGTACATTTATTAGTGGTTTGTTTAAAAAATTTATTTTAGTAACTTGTCTAGTGCTTCAGTAAAAGTTTGCTGATCAATTTACAGGTGGTGTATTTTCTCGATTTTTTTGGAAATTGATTTTCTTTATTTACCGTTTCTCTAAAGATGGTTTGCTTTGCTTGTCGTTTTCTCTTCTCTTGTTTTCTTGCTTATCACCACTGATATATGTGCTCTCTTACTGAAACAAATAAACAAGTAATTGGATGACAGTTGAACCAAATGAATGAAAAGGAGAAGACTGAGTGGGTAAAGGAGAGAAAGAAAATGACATAAGGAAGGTAAAAATAAGCAAGAAGAAAAAGATTTCATACCGACTGGAACAGTGTGGTAATTTCTTTAACAAATTATATAATTGTATATATATATATATATATATATATATAATATATAATATA